ATAAAAAGCCTTCAAATATATTAACATTAATTCTCAAACTGGATTTATTTCTAAGTCTCCAGAAACAATCACTGTATTATCTACATAAAACTGAAAAACACAGCACCTTGGATCTAGCAATTTATTCCATTACTTGCTTTAAGCAGTTAACATTTTTCACTGGGAGAAAAAATAATTTCTAGTACTATATTAGCCATTTTAACAATCTAAAATTCTGAAGACAAAATTCTACAACTTTGTAACATTTATAAGAATTTACTATATTGACAATTGAAATATATAAAATATCTTTATGGAAAGGGATACAATGTATACAACTATAGAAATCAAGTATCATAATTTTAAAGCTATAAAAATAAGATAGCTATAGATTCACACCTAAACTTTCATTTTTAAAAGTTGCATACCATCAGAAATCTAGCCATGCTTCCTTCATAAATGAGAAGAATCATGTCTCATTCTCCACTATATCCTCAGCACCTGCCTACCACAGTACCATGCACACAAAAGGCATTGATGCGTTTATTACAAAAGAACCAACAACTAAAATACTCAAAAAAAAAATATTTAGGGAAAATTAATTAGTAAACAAGGAATAAAGCAAGAAGGTGGGTAGAAGGAATTTAAATAAACTAGAGAAGAGCAGTGGGGACAAAATAAGACTAGGGAGACTCTTGCATTATAAATCTCTCCTTAAATCAAAAGTTGTTATAGTTGTTCTGCAGTAAAACCTAACAAAGATTTACTCAATTAAATGACAATTAATTACTCAAATTTATTAAGTTCCTTACCTAAGCTTTCTCTATGTACTTCAAGTAAAAAGCCATCATGAAGATCTGGTTCACAGGCACATGGAACAGGTTTAGAACGAAAACGTTGGTTTCGAAAATGTAAACATAAGGTAAAGGTCGAACAAACTTGTCCTGGTAAAGGCTCAGGTTCTTGCAGATGTTCCAAGAAAGCTTTTCCACCCAAAACCTGAAGGTAAAGATACCTCCGTGTTGGATCAATATTAGCTGTAAAGTGTAGCAATATATATGAGGAAACTGCCAAAATAACTTAAGGAATGTGATCAAGACAACAGGAAATAATAACTTGACAGGAATAAACCCAAAGACTAAAAAACGAGAAATAACAAATTTACTATATCTCAGGATCATGTACATACTGGGAAAAGAGATACATAATACCCACATTCTTTCTTGAGTTTACATTCTGGCTACTTTCTCCCAGCTAGGAAGGAGTTGGAGGCAACGTTTAGTATACCTTCGTTTTCTAGCTCTTTATCCAACAGTCCTTCATCTTCATAAACCAATTTAGACAACTGACAAGTCAGTGTACCTGTTGGCTAATTCTATTAAATTCATTACTAAAATATAAGAAACAGGTGTACCTACTTTTGCTTCTACTGTACCGTACATTAAACCTTCTGATATACTTCATGCAACACAGAATCTTAAGTTTTTTTGGCTGACTGACCACAAATATTTATTTCATTTTAGAAAAAAAACCTGAAGTGTTTTCTATTAAATACCAAACACTATAGCAAATCTATTACAATCTGCAGCTAAATTAATGTGGGGAAAAAAAAAATACACATACTTTTTTTTAACAACGTTGACTGTCTATCAGTAAAACAAGCAGGTTGTTTTGGAGAGGTAGGGAGTTCTTGATCAACATTGTCCTAGAAAGACAAAAAAAAAAAAAAAAAAAATCAAAACAAATATCATGTTTAAGCCAGAAAATGCCCATAATGGAACTAAGCATTGAATCAGAATTAGCTAGGAAAAGGGCCCCCCAAACATCCTTTATTCTCCTAGCATAATGAAAATGAAAGTTTACATACAAGATAACACAACTGGTCACTTCTAAAAATCTAATACTAAGAAATTAAATTGTTTTCAAACCATGATTCTAACAAAAGTGTTAAAAACAAATCCTTAATACTTAAGTAAAGATAAACTTTTTCTAAACCTCATATAACATTTGGTTTATGAGTGATTATGAACAGATTTTAAAAACGAAGTGTAATTCACACAGCCGAAGCTGTTACTAGGTCATTTTTAATAATAAATAGGTTTCTAAACCTCAAAAACTAAAAAAGGATGCTGTATTAGATACTTTATTCCTTGGTGTATTATAAAGTCCATTCCAATTTTTACATTAGGTTATCCAGGTATTGAGGTCACAGCTTCTCATTATTGCCTCATTTTCAAAAGAAGGCCTACTTACTAATTGTGCACTGAGGGGCTATCACCCCCCTACCGACCTATTTGTGGGAAAAGATTTGAGGGCTCTTAAGCAGTCAATTATTTTCTTAAACAAATATTTGTTAGTCATAGAAAATACAGTCCCAAAAAAGTACATTTATTTTAAAAATAAGCTTGTCAATCTAAAAAAATTATACCACAATCTTAATGAAAAAAGAACTTTGCTATGGTGACTAAGGTACACCTGACCCAAGCCATGACATTTTCAATCGCCTCATATGCATGCGAAAGCTGGACAATGAATACAGAAGACTGAAGAATAACTGATGCCTTTGAATTATGGTGTTGACGAAGAATGCTGCACATATCATGGACTGCGAGAAGAACGAACAAGTCTGTCTTAAAAGAAATACAGCCAGAGTGCTCCTTGGAAGTGAGGATGGCAAGACTTCATCTCATGTACTTTGGACATGTTATCATGAGGGACCAGTCCCTGGAGAAGGACGTTATGCTTGGCAAAGTAGACGGTCAGCGAAAAAGAGGAAGAGCCTCAATAGGATGGACTGACACAGTGGCTGCAACAATGGGCTCAAGCATAACGATTGTGAGCATGGCGCAGGACTGGGCAATATTTTGTTCTATAGTACATTAAGGTCGCTATGAGTCGGAACCAACTGGATGGCACCTAACAACAACATGGTGAAGTAATTTAACTAAAACACATACATTTAAGTTACAGACCTGGAGAATAACAAGAGAAAATTGTCATAAAGAGAGGAATGTGGTATACCTTCCAATTTCACTGATATTATAATAAATAACACTATTGCTGTATTAAAGGGTAGAGCTACCTTATACGTGAAACTAGGATATTACTAAACAAAATGGTTTAAAGTGGTTTTATTAAAAGGAGGCCCTAAATATGCACCCTATAAACAGTGTCAAGCGTGAGAATATACTTACGCTCTCAATTTTTTCCCCTAAATTACTCACAGTAACAAAATTAAGTTCTTTCATCACATCATCAATGATTCCTCTACGTCTAAGGGCTTTGATCAAATCTTCTGTTGATAATTGCTGTTGATCAGGTGCCAATTCTTCACGTATCGTCTCAGCAAGGATTTCTCGTATTCTGCCATGGACATCCATCTATGTAGAAAACTCACATTACAATTTTTTTTTCTCCTGAAGAGCACAGGTATCAAAGCAGCCAAATATTACCAATTAAACAGTTTCTTTGTAAAATACTGACTCAAAGTAAATAAAGGAAAAAATAATGGGAAACAATCAGAACAGTTAATGAGAATGTTGACACAATGTGAAAAACCTAACTAATGTCACTAATCAATCTACGTCGAAACTGTCAAAGAGGAATCTAACTGGCTGTGTAAAGTTTCACCAAAAACACAATATTATTTAAAAATAATAATAATGGGGGGGTGTTAGAGACTAAATCTAGGAAGTTTGAGTTTCAGGCTTCTCAACCTAATTGTAAATGTAAACTTGTTACCACAATTCAACGAGAAAAAAGGTAAGCGGTTTTGTTAAGGAAAAAAAAGGAATTTTTTTAAAAGATGAAATTTTCAAGAAAAATTTTTTAGAAATAGTCTTTACTGCTTATCTACTACCTCTGTTACTTTTTCCCGCACAAATAAGACTCAAGCAAAACTTATCTTTTAAGAAGGAATACAGTAAAATCAGCACAACTGGACTAAACCAAAGCTAAGAAGTTTCCTTAATACAATCAAACACTTCAAGGGACAGAGCAGCAGGGGTGGGGGTCTGGGGACCAGGCTTTCAAGGGGTATCTAGGTCAACTGGCATAACAAAGCTTATTAAGAAAATGATCTGCATCCTACTTTGGTGAGTGGCGTCTGGGGTCTTAAAAGCTTGCAAGCAGCCATCTAAGATGCATAAATTGGTCCCAACCACCTAGAGAATGAAGAACACCAAAGACACAAGGAAAGTACTAGCCCAAGAGACAGAAAGGGCCACATAAACCAGAGACTTCATCAGCCTGAGACCAGAAGAACTAGATGGTGACCAGCTACCACCAATGACTGCCCTGACAGGGAACACAACAGAATCCCTGATGGGGTAGGAGAAAAGTGGGGTGCAGAACTCAAATTCTAGTAAAAAGACCAGACCAGGTCTGACTGAGACTGCAGGAGCCCTGGAAAGTACGGCCCCTGGATTCTCTATCAGCCCAGAACTAAAACAATTTCTGAGACGAACTCTTTAGACAAAGATTGGACTGGATTGTGGGACATAAAATGATACTCGTGAAGAGTGTGCCTCTTAGCTCAAGTAGATAGAAGAGTCTATACAGGCAGCTTCTGTCCAGAGGTGAGATGAGAAGGCAGAGAGGGTTAGGAGCTGGTTGAATGGACATGGGAAATCAGGGGTGGAAAGGAGGAGTGTGCTGTCAAGTACAGGGGAGCAATTAGGGTCACATAACAATGTTATGTATAAATTTTTGTATAAGAGACTGACTTGAAATGTAAACTTTCCCTTAAACTACAACAATAAACAAAAAATAAAATAAGTAAAAAAAAAAAAAAAAAAAGGAATACAGTAAAATCAAAAGAACCTGGAGGAGGTAAATGAATGTTTGAATTTGCTTTCAACCTATCAGAGGTGTAACCCTGAGCCAACTTATTTACCCTTTCTGAACCTGTTTTCTCATCTATAAAACGGGAAAAATATTGCCCTCTCACAAGACTGTGGTGAGGATTAAGACGAAAGATGCTCAACACCCAACACAGAGACTGGCATACGAGCGCACAATACATGACAGCTTTTATTAATATTTCAACGTCCGGTTTTCTTAAATCAGCTTATTGCATTCAGTTGAGTGCCTTGAATATTCCATGTTCTCGTGCTCCGAAGCATCGCAAATACTTTCATTACATAGCCTTTGGCGCCTTCTCTTCCATGACTTCTTTGAGAAACGCTGATTTAAGCTACTGGCTCAATTTCAATGACACCCTCATGTTTCACCCTTAAACCAATTTCGATTTCTCATCAAAATTGAATATAAACCCGTTCCAAACACAGGTCTGACTTCCAGAAATAGGCCGATCAACACTTCATGTTCACAACGGTCCCACAGTACCAGAACGGTTGGTCAGCTCAGACTCGCACTCGCACTTCCTCAGCGTGTTCTCTTTCAGCGAGGCCAGAAAGCTCTCCAGGCTTCAAAGCCAAGCTTCATCCCTCCAAGCCCTATACTCCCCCAGCCCTGCCCGAACCCCGCGGCGGACGCCGGCAGGGAGGAGCACGCGCGCCCTCACCTTGTTCAGCTGCTGGTGGATGAGCTGCTTCAGCTCGGAGGCTTTCTCCGCGGGCAGCGACATGTCGCCTGCCGCGCCTCGCCACCGCTCCTCCCCGGCCTGGGAGCCCCAACGCCAGGCGCGTCGCCCGGGCCACGAGCGCCTCGGGACAAAGACCGCGTTGGCACCGGGCGCTCGCGCTCCGAGCAGGGCCGGGCGGGGCGGGGCGGGACGTAACGAGGGGCGGAGCCGGGGGGCGGGGTCGCGAGCCCCGGGATGCCCCCAGCGCTGCCTGAGCGGCCCGGAGCGGTTACCCCCGCGCCCCTGCAGCTTCCACACACCCACTGATGAGCCTTTCCAGGGTCTCCCAACGTGCTACCCGCCCATCTCCCGTACCCTCGCAGTTTCTTCCCGCCCTCCGCGCAGGCAGTTAATCTGGAAGGCCCCCGAGGACCCGGCGCTGGGGGGACGCAGGACCCCGCCCGCCCGCTTGCTGGCGTTTGCGTTCTGTCTGCTCAATTCCCGCTGTGTTCGTGTTCCGTTCGCGCTCCGAGTGTCTGTTCTTGCCGCTCGGGCCGCTTGGGCGCGTGGAGACGGGGCGAGCTCGCTGGTCGACTTCGCAGTCGTACCCGTTCTTTCCCTTCCTCCACCCCCACACTGCAGCCATGTTTGTGCCTTGCGTGGAGCCGGCGCCCGAGCTCACGGGCTTCACCCTCTTGATGGTGAGTCCCCTTGGCGAGCTTTTGGTGGCCCCGCCGGGGCCACGGCCTCCCGAGGCGCTTGCAGCTCCTTCGCCAGGGCTCGGGACGGGCAGGGACTTGGGGGGAAGAAGCGCTCGTTTCTATGTCGAGTTTTCAGTCTTCAGTGAAGAAATAGAAGAGGTCGCTTGAGGCGTAGTCCAAATAGAGCTTTTTTTGCGACTTATTAACGTATTCAAGTCAACAATTCGTGTCTTTGTTAGCTGTAAAACGGAAAATGTTGGGCTATTATAGACAACATAGTACATAGGCTTTGCAGGGCATCCTCCTTAAATTTTATTCTAAAAAATTTTTTTCCAGCTACTTTTAGGGTCAGTGTTAAGCTAGCAAATCAATGTTATTCTCCACAGATTGTCCCTGTTAAGAAACAGCGTAAATGTAATCTTAAACCATGTTTACTAGCTTGAATTTAAGCAAGTGGGGGGTTTATTGTAAAAAATATTAAAATTAGTGGCAGTAATAAAAGTAACGTTTCTGCCAGTAGTTAACACGATTTTATCGCTTGTACAATTAGCGATGTTCATTCAGTGTTTCAATAAACATACTGTTATGTACGAATATTAGAACAAGACTAGGTTCTTGTCCGCAAATTTACAGTCTACTTGGAAACACATGTAAATGGGTAGGGGCAATAAGTGCTAGGGTATAAGTTTGAAAAGATTGCAGATAGGTCCTAAGATTTATCGGGAGGGGGTGGGGGCACAGGGCTTTTTTCTTAAAAAGCTTGGTAGAGAAATTAACGCCTAGAAGATAAGTACTGGGTGCTGGGGGCAGGAATAGGGCATTTCAGAAAGATGGATGTCTAACCCAAGACACAGAGGCATGGGGGATCTGGAGGACTGCAGGGAGTTTGGAATGACTCATTGAGAGATAATAGGCTCGAGGGTTGTGAGCCCTGAAGACACCTTCGCAGAATGCACTGTTGGGGGTGCAGTACGGCTGGAGAGAGAACATTCTTTTATTCATTAAATATCAGGCATATGAGGCTAGAAAGAAGAGTGTTTAAAAGAGAAGAGAATGGCCGGCTGTCACAAGTAGCCAGGATGTGTGAGATGAAGAAAATGTACATTTTGGATTTAGCAACATGTAGGTTATTGATGGTAACCTTGGCTAGCAGTTCTCAGTGGAGTGGGAACCCATGCTGCAGCTTGTTGAATAAATGAGAGGTCATGGAGATGTGTATGTATTCATTAAGCAATAAAGTTTCTGCTTATATTTTAGAGGACAGCTGTTGAAGATTTTGGCTATGTAGGGACACTGAGAAATGAGTGGTAGTTAGAGGGGTATGTGGGACCCAGGGAGGGCTGTAATCTTTATGGAAGCTGACTGCCACATCTTTCTCCCACGGAGCAGCTGGCGAGTTCAAACTACAGGAGAAAGGGGGTGTAACCAAAGAAACAGTTTTTGAGAAGGAAAAGGGAATTACTGGAGGTTGCCAGGGGATTGGTCGATGACAGCTGTGAGCACTGGGAGACCACTCTGAGGGGCCCAGCAAAGTAGGATGAATGGCAGTAAAAACCAATACCTGGAAGTAGCTTCATTAAAGTGATACTTTTTAGAGAAAGAGTCAATAAAAATTAGTTATGTATTAGATATGGGTGGTAAAGGAAGAAGGTTCCTGTTTTAGGTGATTGGGTGAATGGTGTTGCTGTTTTCTGAAATACAAAATATGGGACAAGTTTGGGCAGTTGTTTAGTTTTATACGTGTTGAATGGGAGGTGCCTGTGACATAACCATGTAGAGATACCCTGTAGCTGTTAGACCTCGAGTAACTGTTCTGAGGTGTAGGTAGCGATTTCGCAGTTGGTTGTTTGAAATCATAGGACAAGTATGTGTGTGTTTAGTGTGAAAAGGTCACTGCAAGCTTTAGAAGTGGGCAAAGAAAGTGGCACAAGAATACCGAAGAGCGCTTTTGTGCATCCTCACAGCTTTCCCACTTCCTGAGGTATTCATTCCCAGGTTTTTGTGTGCCACTTTTCCTTACTCCTTCAGCTCTGTAGTCACTTTGCACCTGAAGTGAGTCCTTATTTGACAGTTTAAAATTACAACCAACCACACATACAGACATGTACACTCACACGTTAAATCCCTTTTCTCTGCTTTATTGTTGTCTATAGCACGTGCTACTATGTGTTTTACCTATTTATTTTGTTTATCGCAGGTAAACCACATCCTCAGTAGAAGCTCTACAAGGGCAGGAATTTTTTTCTGACTTTTTTAATTTCATCCCCAGTGGCTAGAGCAGTGATTGACACATAGGAGGTGCTCAGTAAGTGTTTGGTAAATGAATGGTCTTGAAGGTGGAGGATGCCCCAGCTGACATCACTGTTCTAGCTAATGAAAGAGTATTTAGCTCTGATGTACCTAAGCGTAAGCACTTGGCACTAGTACTATGATTATTGTCTTCGGTCTAAATTTTTAAAAAGTGCTGCTAATTTCTATGACTTATTGAACATATCTTTTATTATTTCAGCCAGCAGTATCCGTTGGAAATGTTGGCCAGCTTGCAATAGATCTGATTATTTCCACACTGAATATGTTTAAGGTTGGTTACTTCTATACCGATTGTCTTGTGCCAATGGTTGGAAACAATCCGTATGCAACCACAGAAGAAAACTCAACAGAACTCAGTATAAATACTGAGGGTATGTACAACTTCAGCATGTTTTATTCTACTACAGAGTTGTTTAAAATTAGAAATAGACTCACAGATACTGTTTTGAAGCAAATGTTTACTTAGTGCCGGCTTTGTGCAGTCGGTGTGTATGACGACCCGGCCCCATTACCCTGTTACATTCTGGCTTTAGGTCTTAGCCTTTTTTTTCTAAATGGCAGTGTTTATGAGGGATGTAACTGTGCTTGTATGTTTAGATAGAATTTAAGATTTCCTTTTCTTCCCCCCGTGTGGATTTTTTTACCCTTTATCCTCAGTTTTATTTTTTGTTCTTACTGGCATGTTTAATCATTATCACTAATACAAGGGAAATGTGGAAATGAGAATTCAACTGGACTCAGTCCTAATGTTTTAAGATGTGCTTCTCAACTAAACCTCAAAGTCATCTTGTCACATTGCTGTGGAATCCATAATAAGCTGATTAGGTCGTAAGGCTCAGAGAGAGTGAGTTGCCAGTTGCCCCTCAGTAGGGATGGGCTTTTTCTTTAGCATGTATTTCCATAAGTCCTCATTTCCTGATTGGACATGTTGGGGATGGTTAATAGGGAACACAGTTCACCTTGCACTGATGCTGTTTGGTTATTATGTCAGACAGCACCATGGGAGTCGGGGAGAGCTGGATCATGAAGCACAGGAACTCCGTTTACTTTGATGGCTAACTGTTCTATTGGCCTCTCAGTCTTCTGCTTACCATTTTGAGGTCAAAGCCAAAGGTAATAGAGGTGTCTGAGAGGCCCAAGTGGATTGAAGGACAAATTAAGAAGCATTTTGTTTTGTTTCAGTCTTATTAACCATGACATTATTCTACCTTTGCAGTAAGGAAATGCATTTTTGAGAAATAACTTTATTATTGAAATTCCTGCAGGGAAGATTGCTTTAACAACATGAGATGGATTTCAGTTATTGTATTAAAGGATAAAGGATGAAGCGGTAGGACTAGAATTCATATACTTTCCACTAATAATAGGTATCATTTATTGTACATTTACTATGAGCTGGACACTATATGTATTTACTTGTATTAATTGATTTAATCTTCACAACTACTCCATGAGGTAGTTTTATAGATGAGGAAACCATGGCACAGAGAAGTTGAATAACTTGTTCAAGGTTACATGATTAATAATTGGTGTAGCTGAGCTTGAAATCAAGGCAATCTGGCTTTGAGACCTGCCTCTTCATCACCATGCTGTCCTGCTCATGCACCTTCACTCCAGGAAGAGATCCACTTGCTTTCCTCTAACACAGACCATCAGCAAGTCAGTTGTACTTATAAAGTTCTTTGATCCACTTTATTGTGTTTAAAATGAGGTATTTTAAATAATTAAAAACATTATGACATTCCATCCCCAAACATGGAAATACGCACCTCTGAAGGAACGTGTTCTTGCGTAGCTGAAATAACATTATAGTATTTAACAAAATCAGGCATTTCTTAATATCTTCTTATGTGCCATCCGTGTTCAAATTGCCCCAGTTTACCCCAAAATATCCCTTACAGTATGTCCAAACCAGGATACAGTCTGGGACCCACAGTATGTCTGATTGTTGTGTCCTTGAAATCTTTTACTTTAGTCTTTTTTTTTTTTCTTTTTCCTTCTTCACAAAACTAACTTACTGAAGAGAAACTAGACTCATTGTCCTATAGAATGTCCCACCTACTGCATTTATCTGATTACTTTGTGGATTCATTTGACTTATTCCTCTACCCCTGTATTTTCTGTAACTGGAAGTTAGCTCCAAAGGCTTGATTAGATTTAAGTTAAATATTTTTGACCATAATACATAGAAGGTGATGTTACTTTCATGCTGCATTCCATCAGAAGAAAAAAAATGAGCAACAGTGTCTTAACAACAAAAGATGGTTGCATGATATGCTGATGTAAGATATAAGTACAAGTTGTCTCCGACTTACAGCGTATTCAAGTTACGGAAAACCACACTTAAGAATAGTCTGGTTTTTTTGTACATTCACATCTTATGTAATATGTACTGTGTACAACGTTGCAATGCATAGTTTCCTCATGTTATCATTCTCAAATCTTCGCTCGCAGATGTTCAGTATTACGATTTCTAAAGATACTGATAATAAAAGGCAGTAATGAAAAAAATGAGATATTTGAGTTAACATCAGAACCGATTTACAACAGAGTTGTTGGAACAGAACCCTGTCAGAAGTTGGGGACTACCTGTCTTGCTATTATACCAAGTGGTGTGTGTTACATTTTAAAACTTAGCCTGCCCACCCTTCTATACACATGTAATTTCCCAACCCAGGTCCGTTGAATTTGGACTGTATGTGTACATTGGAGATAAACTAGAGGCTGGAGCAGCCTAGGTCTTAGTGCCTTTTCCATAAATTTATGCTCTTTTCTCTAATTCTTAAACCTCCTGCTCTAGGCTTCTTTACCCTGAGTGTACCTGGTGCTCACTAGACTTGCTGAATGCGGCATAGCCCCCAACCTCACCACACCAGCCACAAGGAGACAGTCTTCAAAACACCTATAAACGAGAGACGTGATCCACCGGAAGACTTGCTCCAGTCTTTTCTTGTTTGTAGTCTTTATAGTAACTAGGAGCTTACCCCTTAGCAGTAGCTTAATCATGTGCCCTCAGAGACTGTTTTGTCCTTGGTACATATCAGAGCTTTGCATTCTTGGAGGTGAAATTGGGCCTTCAGCGTCCCTAGAATGGGCCCCTTGAAGAATCTGATGAAAGTTACAGATCCTGTTCCCAGAAAAACTGCACACACATTGGCTCATAGGAGATTTTACGTATTATTTCAGGTCTTTCAAAGACTCCTGAAGACCACAAATGTACCTACTGCAAGGATTTTCTTATATGACATTCTCCAATACTTTATTCTTTCTTCTGTTAATACCAATGAGTTGCTGTCTTCAGAGAAAAGAGGGGAGACTATTAGAAAAGACCTAGCTGAAACCAAAACATTTAGTTTTAGCTAAACAAAATCGTCATTCTTAATTAACTTTTTTAAGAATAAATCTATTTCGTAGACTAAAGCCCAGTGGCACATATTAAGGCACTTACAAAACGCTTATGTTAACAAAATGATACAGTGCATGTGTTCTGTGTTTTAATTTTTGAAAATATTTGGATACAAAAGTTCTTATACTGCAGTTTTAATTTTTTATCATATTAATAATTGCAACTTATAACTTTCATTTTTCTTACTGTATGATTTCATTTTTTTCTTTGTAGTATACTCATTGCCTTCAAGGAAGCTAGTCGCTCTTCAGTTAAGATCCATTTTTATTAAGGTTAGCATGTTCTATTTACGTTTTTTAAGTTTATTAATGAAAATGTAATGAGAAGATAGCAAGTGTGTATCATTAACAATTAAGATTCAAAAATCATTTCTGCTGTTTTTACTGTATGTACAGTTAGGTAGGAAACATCTGATTCTTTGGAGAGAATATAAGATTTCAGATGTATTACCATTATTTCATGATTACATAGAAAAGAACTGGGACGTACACCTTGGTGAAAAAGTTTAAGCAGATAAATATTGTAGGTTAGTCCAGACCGTTGTCATCTCTCATGCCCTCGATTCTACTCTTGGCGCTGCAAACACTTGATAGTTGTTTCAAAGAACACACCAGTGATCCTTTAAACCTCCTCTCTTCCCATCTCACTCACAGTGAAGCCATGACCTGTCCATGGCCTGCAGTGCTCTACATCTGCACGTCTGATATGGTAGCCACTAGCCACGTGTAACTAGCTAAGTTTCAACTAACTGAAGAACGTTAAAATACAGTTCCTCAGTCACACTAGTTGCATTTCAAGTACCTAATAGCCGCATGTGGCTAGTAGCGACCATAAAGGACACGTTCATCATCACAGAAAGTTCTGTTGGACAGCACGGCTCTACCTAATCTAACGTCAGCCATTCTGTGTACCCACTGCCTTTTTCCCCCTTTCTCTCACTCTACCCTGGCCACACTGGCCTCCCTGTGTTAGTTACACATACCAAGCTCACTGCTGTCTCAGCGCCTTTGCGCTGGTTTCTCGGCTGGAATGCTTCCCCCAAATGGCTCCTTTCTTTTAGGTCTTGGCTTAAGTGTTACCTCATCAGAAAGGCCTTCCCTGACCACCTTTTCTGTCTCCTTATCCTGCTTTCCTTTTCTTCACAGCTCACTACTACCTGGCATGACATATTTGTTTATTGTCTGACTTTCTAATGGAAAATAAGCTTCCTTAGGGGAGTGTTGCTACCTCTTAACTTCCCACTGCTAGAATAGTGCCTTGTACATGGAGATGCTCTCAGGAAATATCTGTTGGGTGGATCATTCAGAATGACGAAGGTGTGTCTGCTCAGGAGGTCAGAAATAAGGGGCTTTAATGACACAGTTCACTGCAGAGTACTTTTTAAGTATAACATACATAGAGGAATGGGTACAAATCTTACGTCCATAGCTGAATGAATTTTCACAAAGTAAACCCTTCAGTGATCCCAGCCTCCAGATCAAGAAGTAGAATATTTCCGACATTCCAAGCCTTCCCCCACACCTCATCCCAGCCATTGCTTACTTCAGTGGAATCCGAGGGGGTATTTTCCTTCATGGCCAGCTTCTTTCGCTCAGCATTCTATTTGTGAGGTTCACTGATTCATTCTCACTTGTATGTGGTATTCCATCGTATGGATGAGTCTTAATTTATCCATTGTACTATTGATGAAGCATTTGATTTTTTCCACTTTGAGGCTATTGGGAATAGTGCTGCTATGATTGTTTTTGATATTTATGTTTGGTATGTATCACTCTCTCCTTTCTTTCGTTAACAGTGTCATACCTAAAGTTTTGCAGTGAGAATTGTTAGCATTTTTACGTTGTGCCATGTGGCTTTTTTGTTCTCTTCCTAATATCAATGTAAGTTAAAGAATTAAGATAGATAATTCAGACACTTTTAAATGAAATTTTTGGTGGGCGAAAATAATATAAAGTAATCTGAAATGTTTATTGAGTGTTGATTCTTTACACCAGCACTATTCTAAGCGCTTTATATTTATGATTCTGTTTAGTCCTAACAACAATTCTGTGAGGTGGATAATTAACATTATCCTTATTTTACAAATGAGGAAACTGAAGCACAGGAAGTTTAAGCAATTTGGCCGAGATGTACAGTCCATAGCAGGTGGTGCCAGCATTCTCATCCAGGCAGCCTGACTCCAGCCTTCCTCTCTCAGCTACTGTGCTATAAATGTTTAGCCCTTTCCTTACCTGCATTTCAAATTTTGTTGAATAATCATCTTAACAGTCTGTGAAAGTTTCGATAAAGTGAGTTTTCCCCCAAATATTTGGTAACCCACATTCCATATTCACTGCTAACATCTTGCCACATCCGCTTGATCTGTCTCTCTCGATACATGCACACAGTTCCTTCTGCCAGACAAGCTAGAAGTAGGCTAGAGATATCATGCAATTTTACCCTGGAATACATCATCACACATCTTTCAATCTCAGGGATATTCTCCTTCACAACCACAACACCGTTACCACACCCGAGAAAATCAGCATGCAGTGAATTATTCAATAGTACCATTCATTGTACTTGGATCAATAGTCAATGCCTGTGGAAGCAGCAGTCAGGAAATCAAATGATGTATTGCACTGGGCAATTCTGCTGCAAAAGACCTTTTTAAAGTGTTAAAAACCAAAGATGTCACTTTGATGACTAAGGTGCACCTGACCCAAGCCATGGTATTTTCAGTTGCCTCATATGTATGTGAAAGCTGTGCAGTGAATAAGGAGGACCAAAGGACAGTCCGTGTATTTGAATTGTGGTAATGGCGAAGCATATACCATGCCAGAAGAATGAACAAATCCATCTTGGAGTAGGTACAGCTGTCTCCTGCTCCTTAGCAGTGAGGATGGCTAGACTTTGTCTTGCTTTCTTTGGGCACATCATCAGGAAAGACCAGTCACTAGAAAAGGATGTGTTTGGTGAAGGGTCAGGAAAACGAGGAAAGCCCTCCATGAGATGTGTTGACACAGTGGCTGCAACAATGGGCTTAACCATACCAAAGATTGTGAGGGATGGCACAGGACTGAGCAATGTTTTGTTTTGTTATATGTAAGGTTGCATGGCAACTAACAGCAATCATCCAACATATTCACATTTCCCCAGTTGTCACCAAAATGTCCTTTCTAGTTTGTTTCAAGTCAAGATCCAGTCAAGGTTCTCACGTTGCATTTGACTGTTAACATCTTTTTAGTTGGTATCCTTCAGTTTAAAACCAACCTTTTTCTTTTCCTCATGATCAGATTCAGGTCAGAAATTTCTGGCAAGAACATCTTATAGATGACCATGTGGTGGTTTTTAAGTAACAACAAATCACTTAAGTAGAGAACTGGGAGATTTTCCTCTATCAAAATTGAAATGTTTTGAAACCTAGAGTCCTCACAAATAATTTATTTCCTAACTGTAAACGTATATTATCGTTCTTCATCTTTTATCTCAGTTTAAAGATGATAAATGGATTTGAAAATACTAATAATTTTAGTATATGCAAGTATATAACAAAGTTGATAAAATGTAAAATACACTTAGTATATTCTAAGGTCTAACTTTTTAATTTTCTTTTTATTCTTTCAATGGTATATAAAGTATAAATCCAAGTCATTCTGTGAAAAGCTGCTTTCCTGGGTAAAAAATAGTAACTGTGCCAGAGTTATTGTGCTTTCAAGCAGTCACTCGTATCACCGCAGTGATCTACAGCTTCGCAGGTATGTTCTTGCTGTTGAAAATTTATTTTTGTTACGGTTTGTACAGTATTGTGATAATTTCACTATTAAATTTTTTTTTTAAATAGCCATGTGTATCGTTATCTCTCCTCTCAGAAATTTAGAAAGAGGTAGGTGAAAGAAAGTCAAGAGATAAGAGGGAGTGCAGTCAGGTCAGTACTGTTAGTTCCTGTGTGATTGGTACAAGTTGGGGCACAGGAGAGGCTTTGGTGTAAAGACAGAGATGATTCCAGAACATGCTTTAGTGCTTGGTATCACACCTTAGGATATACATGGCAACATCACAGATCTCACCCAATAAAGAGAAAGGGGCCTAGTTAGAAGGATATCCAAGATTCATTGGTTGATAATTTTTAAAGGTTGGATTGATTTCTCTACTTATTTCCATATGTGCAACCATTTGTATTACAGAAATCCATTTGCCTCTAAATATAGCTCACTGGCATGTCAGAATGAATTCTTAAATGTAAGACAAAGTAGCCAAGAGGTGGAAATATAAAGTATTTTATTGCATTACAATTTATACACCTATAAAAGCAGGATTAAAAATGTCCATAAGCCAAGAATTATCTTTCAAAACCAGACCTAACTTCTAGGAATCCAACAGTAGACACCCCAAGCCACATAGCCTGAAGGAGCTGTGGGAGATAGGTCTGTTCTCATGATGTCCTTGTCTTATTTTAAGTTTTCCTGTGTCATACTCTCTCCTAAGTAAGTAAATATCAAACTAGAGCAATGTTTTTTGTGTATTGTTCTTTCTTGTGTTTTGCCTTGGGCAGCCAAATATATGGAGACCAAGATAATTTTAGCTAAAAGAACTGCTATTTGCTTTATTTATGAGTTCTTAAAAAATTTATTATGTGATTGTTTTCCAGTACTCCCTTTCGCTACCTGCTTACACCTTCCATGCAAAAAAGTGTTCAGAATAAAATAAAGAGCCTTAATTGGGAAGAAATGGAAAAAAGCCAGTGCATTCCCGGAAT